TGCTGTCCATGGCTAGCACATTCCTGTTATAATAGTTTGTTTGAGGTATGGTAGAATTTCTTGTTTAAAGTATTTTTTATTTATAAATATATTATAATTATATTTTTTAAAATTTATTTTTAATACTAACATATCAAAATAATTAAAAAATATTAAAAAATAATAATTTAAAACTAAAATATTTTAAAGACCGCCATCAGAATGAAATGTAAAACCATACCTTACAGTTGGAGGACCTTAGCATATATGCAAGGGGGCTGTGAAGTCAATGTCAATAATATTGCTAAACCAAAATGATTAAATAAAATCCACGTCTTTAAGCACGTATTCAATCCCAACTTGGTATACATCAAGCCATTTTATAATGATCATCATATCATTTAGAAATTAAAAGAAAATTAATCATCTTACCACTTTCTATATAAAGAATCTAGTGTACAGTTATTAAAATCTTGGTTAAGAAGTTCATCTGATTAAGTGGACAGGTTTTAAATTACCTAGATTGACCTGAGTTTACATTAAAAAATACAAAAAAAAATTACATTTAAGATTTTAACATTTTATATGAAAAGATATTAGAAATAATACATATGGATATATTTTTAGTATAAAATATAGTATAATTATCCTACATTAAAAAGTTAAAGAAATAATTTAGATTAATATAGACTATATAAAAAATATAGGATATAAAATATAATATAGTTTATCCTAAAAAAAATATGAGATATAAAATGTAGTATAACTATCCTATATCAAAAAGTTAATATATCCCACATTAATATTTTTAGGGTTTATTAAAAAAAAAAATCACGTTTCATCTAAGGTTATGTTGGATTACGTGGCTCACCTGGATTTTAAATTGACCGGACAAGTCTCTAGATTTAACCGGACTATTACATATTCAGATTTTTTTTATTTGAAACTCAATCAAGATTCCGGTTCAAAACACCGGCTAGATCGGTTTCATAATTATGTTCCATATATAGTAACAGAGGGCTAAGCCTCTTTCCTTGTGTCCTATCGTATGTCTCTCGGTGTTCATCATGACTAGCTGCCATGTATTACTCTTCCTAGCTCTCTTTGTTTTTTCAGCAAATGCAGATGGTGAGATTTTCTTTTTCATTTTTTCATTTTTTTCTTCTTTCAGTATTTACTCAATTCATCTAATTTCTAACTATTTCAAACTTCAAAAAACTCTAGTTAGCATTGATTGTGGAGCATCCGAGTCTTACACTGACGAAAATTCGATAACTTGGAGGGGAGACGATGACATCTTCCAAGACAGCTTCTCTGAAGTGGTGCAATCTAGCAACTCGGTATCACATGTAATGAGCACTCTTAGGGTGTTCACCTCTCGGAAAAAGAATTGTTACTTTGTCACAGTCGACAAGGGTCCACTTCTTGTTCGTGCCAGCTTCTACTATGGAAATTATGACAGAAAACTATCCCCTCCATCTTTTGATCTGCTTATTGATGGCAACCACTGGACAAAAGTCATTACCTCACTCGATCGACTTGTATATTATGAGGTAGTCTACGTTGTCCAAAGTGACGCGACTAGCATCTGCCTTGCCCAAACACAACCTAACCAGTTTCCATTTATATCCGCACTTGAGGTTAGGAGCTTGGATCCTAAAATGTATAACTATGTTGATCCGAAATATGCACTGTTTGTAAGGTCCAGGTTTGCTTATGGTGCAAGTGCGACTGTAAGGTACATAATGATCGATACTTTGGCCATCGTTGTTCTTGTGTTCTTTCCTTTCAGAGTCACATTTTATCGCGTAGTTCTTACAACTTGTGGATAATTATCAGGTATCCGGATGATGTTTATGATCGCATTTGGGTTCCAGAAAGCGGTGGTACTGGGGTAATTTCAGTGGCAAGCGAAGCAATATCCTATGAAGTTGATGTACCAGAAGAGCCTCCGGAAGCAGTCTTGCAGAATGCTATTACAACCTCAAGCTTGTCTCAAAGTTTAACTTATATCCCTGATTTTGCAGATAAAAAAACTGCAATCTACTTGAACTTGTATTTCTCAGAAGTCACCGATCTCGATACCACCCAGAAGAGATCGTTTAGGATTTACATCGATAACAATCCTATATCAAAGCCCATTATCCCACCTTATGGAAAAGTGACAGAGATGTTAATTAACTATACAGCTTCTTCAAACACCTCGTTTTCGTTGGTTTCCACCCTCGATTCTACACTTCCTCCACTTATCAATGCCATGGAAGTCTTTTCTGTTAGCGATCCTCTAGTAGCTGGAACCAACAGCAAAGATGGTATGCATTAATCTTTTTGACCCATTAACATAGCTGGTTTATTTGGATACAATTAATATTGGATTTATTTCTGAATATGCTGACAGATAACTTTTCATGTCTTTCAGTGGGAGGCTTAGTTGAGCTCCAAACGCAATTTAGTGTATTACAAGGATGGTATGGTGATCCATGTCTCCCTTCTCCATATACATGGGACTGGATTAGCTGTAGCAATGACGTTATACCTCACGTGACAGCATTGTAAATAATCTACTTCCCTTCCATCATCAGAAAGAATTTCAAAGTATACATTTTTTTCTTTACTTGTTTATAATATTTTTGAGTCTTTCAGGGACCTTAGTAGCTTTGGTCTTTCAGGGCAACTTCCGGATTTTAGTTCCATGGATTCCCTTGTGATAATGTGGGTGATATATCAATCATTAAGTAAACTGCTTATGAGTTGAACCATTTTCTGATATCTTCGTGTTCTAACACAATGCTAGCAATTTGTTTGCAATTGAATTTCAGCGATTTGCACAATAATAGTTTAAGTGGACCTATTCCAGATTTCCTTGGAGCCTTTCCTTACCTCAAAGAACTGTAAGATTCTCCCAGATGATCCCTTGTTAGTTGTTAAAATTAATGCTCTTGTAAGGATTCCTGGCATGGTTTCTGATAAGAGTGATTTGTAGGCAAAAATCGTGTGGTGCAAACATGAAACAAGATTTGCATTTTCGAAAAATAACGCAATAATCTTTCCTTTCCTTTTTCTTCAATCTAGGAATTTGGCTGATAATTCCTTCAGTGGACCGATACCTCCATCAATATCAAGTAATAAGATGTTGAAATTAGTGTGAGTGCCTATGCAAAAACAGTTTAGTTTTATCGAAATCTCTCATTAGTTCTCAAGGTGTAGTTTCTTAATTTGATGATTAATTCAAATGTTCTGATGTATCCTGGAACATTTTCAGGGTATCAGGAAATCCAGGCTTGTGTGTCTCCGGCAAGTCCTGTAAGCCAACAAGCACAGATGGCACTAAGAGTTCACCAACTCCCTCAAGCAGCAGCAAAAAGAGTAACAAGCTTCCAATAATACTTGGAACCACAATTCCAAGCTTCATAATTTTCTGGGCTATAGTGGCATTTATATTGCACCACAGGAGAAAAACAGCAGCCATAGCTGCAATCACCGCAGGTTAGCAAGCAGAAAACTATTTAAATTACAACATGATAAACGACATCTGAATTTCAATTCAAACTTCATGTTTCACTTTTAACATTTTCTTTTTCGGTTCGTCTAGGACAAGCTGCTGGCTCGGATATGCCTTCTCATGGTCAGGGATCACCCGGCAATGTGATGATGGGTAAAATGGGTGAAGCTGCCGCGAATGAGATCACGGTCAATATACACGGCCAAACAACCACAGGGACGACTGGTAGTTAATCACTCAGATCCACAGGAACATGGAAGCAACAATGACTGATGAGAAAAACACCTAACTAATTTATTTCCTCAAATATCCTTTCGGCATATCATTTCTCCAAGCATGCAGATGTTGTATCCAAGCTCCACGAAGTCAAAGATCATGTGTTAGGAAGCTGAGTGACATTATTTGAAAAATTTACCTGATTGTACCTTCAAATATACCTTATTTTCTTTGCAAACGGATTTCAACTGGGTAGGAGGTCGAAATCTCCGATGCGATAAATTTGCAAGTTGCCCTCTATTTTGAGTTATTTTGGGGAAACGTCAATTTAGTTCTTAACCTTTCAATTGAGTTTCAAAACAATAAATTAATCTTTTCAGTGATTGAATTGTTAAAAGAAATTGATGAAATGATCCGTAGAAAAAACCATTTAGCCGTACGATTCAAGGACCTTAGCAAGTGGGCAGTGAAGTCAATGTCAACATCGCAAAATGAGGCATGGATTCTGCTAGATCCACTCCCTTTAAGATTAATGGATTCCATCCCAGTTGAGGTAGAACATAGGCTTATTTGATAAATGATAATCATCCATTAAGCGGTATTAAGACTCGTAATCGACAGCAATTAAAAGAGAAAAGTTGTAAAGTAAAAACAAATGAGCTGAAACTTAGAGAGAAATATATATTCAAGGACCGTAACATGGATATATACATGAAATAGCTACATTTTGGGGCTGTTAAGTCACAATTGTAATCATAAGACTTGAGTTTAGCAAGTTATATATAGAAAATGTTATATTTTGATTTAATTAATAGTATAATTAAATGTATAAATAAATATATATTACATATAACATAAATTATATAAAGATGTTTGAATAATTATAAGAAGATTCATTATTATGTGTGAATTAGAAAAAAAATTCTATATATTTCTCCAATAATATTATGGATCGACAAATCCTTAACACTATAAAATGAGATTTGTGAAGGGTTATATTATCCAACAGAAACAGGTCCTTAGCCAGCAATAGAGCAAGAATCGAAATGTATGGAAATTAAGAATTTTGTCTTCTATCTGAACAGCTGTTTCTAAAGCCATATTAAGGTTAATGTTGAGTAGTAGTGCTATATTATTGAAATATAATTAGCCTACAAACCAACATCTAAAGAATGAATATAAATAATAAAAGGAATAAACAATCCTTGGACAATATCTTTTTGAAAATTAAAACATGATCATCCCAAAGATGCCTACAATGGCCGCAATCAACCCGTAGCATGTAGAAGCAATGTTGCCTGCTGCTCCGGATGGGGAGGTTTCAGTTGGGCCGGGAAAAGGTGATGTTGCTGGAGATGACAGTTGAGACAACACAGTTATGAAAAGTTTCTGGTTCCCAGATTCACAGTGTCCGGGCACACTGCAAATGTACCATTTCTTCCCAGGAGTTGAGAGTGGAATCACATCATTTCCTGTAGTCAAGGGCACAATATCATCAGCTGCCTTGCACTCTTCAAATCCAGTTCCATTAACGCTCAACACATTGTGTGCTCCTGGCGTATACTTGAAAACTGCACCAAGAAATCAAATTGTCAAGAAAAAATGTTGAATGCAGTCGTAGTAAAATATGAATGCAGTTTTTTTAAAGAGATCAGTTGAGCTACCTAGTTTGTCTCCCACGTAAAATGCTTTTCCCTGAGCCCAACTTTGATAATTAAAGCCTAGGGTCCAACCTTTCTGGTCACCAACCATATGTTCTGTTGCCAAGATTGAAGGAACAAAGACTGCAACAATGGCGATGATCATGAATATCCTACAAGACGCCATTACAGCTTTTTTTTTCTAGTTAAGCAATCTTCTCCCTCCTTTCTTCTTTGATTGACGTTGGTGGGATGTTTTTGTGATACGATTTGATTGTTGCAAAGTGTTCAAATATTGCAACCTTTATATAGACTGGGAAAAAATAGTGGGGTCTAAGTTTTGTGGCGAGCCCATGGCCCGGCAATGGCAGCAATTAAGGCAAGGACGGCAATGGCACGACGCAGTTCTTGAATTAGTAGGTTGGCAACAAGGACTCCCTTTTTTTTAATTGATGAATCCATCTTTCACGGTAAGTTACTTTGCTAGAGGCCATTCAGATTTTGTTTGCTACGCGAGACTTGTTCAACAAAAGAGACCGACATCATGCACTTCTTCCCTGCCAAATGTGGATACGAAGTTTATGATATTTTTGGCATTCTCGTAAGTTGGCCTGTATATGCTTTATTTGACTTTGGGCTTTGATGATCATTGCCATTGTTTAAAGACTTGTCGGTATTGGCTTCTTACAGGATGTTCAAGATAATTGCAATTGTCGTATTCCCTGTCCTTTCGGTTTTCAACTACCAGAAATAAATAGAGAATACTATTAATTTGCATGAAAATAGTGCACATCAAATTATTATTAAAAATTTTATCTGAATTTTATTATAAGTGTGTGTATACATAATTATTGTTATTTTTATATGAATAAATGGATAGATCAACATGAATAACAAAAATATCTCTATATAATATATTTATTGCTAACAAATTAACTAAACCAAATTTTTTAAACTAGTACTATAATTTGAGAATTGTTTTCCAGCAAAAGACAAAGATTATATATTTTTGAAATATGATTCATCCTACCCTTGAAAGAGGTTGTTAAAGACAAAGTTATTGGTAAATATCAATTTCATATTAATATTAATGATGATAAATAAATTATATATTGTTAGTAGTATGTCACTTAAACTTCAAAAGTATTATCAAAATATAAATGTTAATACTATAATTATATATTTCAATGAGTTGTTTGATAAAACTAGCAAAATTAAAATATATAAATCTCTAATGAATTTTTCCACTACAAGATTATAGAAAATTCTTTTATGAACAATCGTGTTTTAAAATTAATTGACTATATTGATAAATTAAACAATTAAGTTTTATCATGGATTATAAATTAAATGTTAACTTACTTAAAATGTGTTAATTATTGAAAACTACTTGTCTACTTCATATAGTATCTCTTGATTATTAGATATAGAACATGGTTTTTATATCTGCAATAATATATAGTGACTAAAGTAAAATAGAAGATGACCTGAAAACAAAGTAAATCTATGAGTTGATAATGACACAATAGTTTTGTATTAGTTATAAAAACTTATCATTTAACTTTGCAAAATGAAATGTAAAACCATACCTTACAGTTGGAGGACCTTAGCATATATGCAAGTCGGCTGTGAAGTCAATGTCAATAATATTGCTAAACCAAACTGATTATATAAAATCCACGTCTTTAAGCACGTATTCAATCCCTAGTTGGTATACATTAAGCCCATTTTATAATGATAATCATTTCCATTCAGAAATTAAAAGAAAAATAACACTTTGTATATAAAATCAAAATCTAGTTTTCATCTAGTTTTCATGTCATAATTATTAAACGCGATTCAAAAATTAACCTGATCAAGTGGCTAGGTCTCTTAGATCACATAAGTCGATCTTAATTATATATATATATATATTTAAGGTTTTAATATATTACAAAAAAAATATTAGAAATAATATATATATGGATGTATATTTTGCATAAAATATAGTATAGTTATTCCACATCAAAAAAAAGTTAAAGAAACAATCTTTATACATGTGGACTTTAAAAAAAAATATATGGGATATAAATATGAAGTATAATGTAGTTATTCTATAATGTTATGGCTCCTTGACAAGTAAGGATGAGAATTTCTATAATTAAATATGAAGTATATATATTGTCAACTCTTCGATTTCCTTGCTGTCCATGGCTAGCACATTCCTGTTATAATAGTTTGTTTGAGGTATGGTAGAATTTCTTGTTTAAAGTATTTTTTATTTATAAATATATTATAATTATATTTTTTAAAATTTATTTTTAATACTAACATATCAAAATAATTAAAAAATATTAAAAAATAATAATTTAAAACTAAAATATTTTAAAGAGCGCCAATAGAATGAAATGTAAAACCATACCTTACAGTTGGAGGACCTTAGCATATATGCAAGGGGGCTGTGAAGTCAATGTCAATAATATTGCTAAACCAAAATGATTAAATAAAATCCACGTCTTTAAGCACGTATTCAATCCCTAGTTGGTATACATTAAGCCCATTTTATAATGATAATCATTTCCATTCAGAAATTAAAAGAAAAATAACACTTTGTATATAAAATCAAAATCTAGTTTTCATCTAGTTTTCATGTCATAATTATTAAACGCGATTCAAAAATTAACCTGATCAAGTGGCTAGGTCTCTTAGATCACATAAGTCGATCTTAATTATATATATATATATATTTAAGGTTTTAATATATTACAAAAAAAATATTAGAAATAATATATATATGGATGTATATTTTGCATAAAATATAGTATAGTTATTCCACATCAAAAAAAAGTTAAAGAAACAATCTTTATACATGTGGACTTTAAAAAAAAATATATGGGATATAAATATGAAGTATAATGTAGTTATTCTATAATGTTATGGCTCCTTGACAAGTAAGGATGAGAATTTCTATAATTAAATATGAAGTATATATATTGTCAACTCTTCGATTTCCTTGCTGTCCATGGCTAGCACATTCCTGTTATAATAGTTTGTTTGAGGTATGGTAGAATTTCTTGTTTAAAGTATTTTTTATTTATAAATATATTATAATTATATTTTTTAAAATTTATTTTTAATACTAACATATCAAAATAATTAAAAAATATTAAAAAATAATAATTTAAAACTAAAATATTTTAAAGAGCGCCAATAGAATGAAATGTAAAACCATACCTTACAGTTGGAGGACCTTAGCATATATGCAAGGGGGCTGTGAAGTCAATGTCAATAATATTGCTAAACCAAAATGATTAAATAAAATCCACGTCTTTAAGCACGTATTCAATCCCTAGTTGGTATACATTAAGCCCATTTTATAATGATAATCATTTCCATTCAGAAATTAAAAGAAAAATAACACTTTGTATATAAAATCAAAATCTAGTTTTCATCTAGTTTTCATGTCATAATTATTAAACGCGATTCAAAAATTAACCTGATCAAGTGGCTAGGTCTCTTAGATCACATAAGTCGATCTTAATTATATATATATATATATTTAAGGTTTTAATATATTACAAAAAAAATATTAGAAATAATATATATATGGATGTATATTTTGCATAAAATATAGTATAGTTATTCCACATCAAAAAAAAGTTAAAGAAACAATCTTTATACATGTGGACTTTAAAAAAAAATATATGGGATATAAATATGAAGTATAATGTAGTTATTCTATAATGTTATGGCTCCTTGACAAGTAAGGATGAGAATTTCTATAATTAAATATGAAGTATATATATTGTCAACTCTTCGATTTCCTTGCTGTCCATGGCTAGCACATTCCTGTTATAATAGTTTGTTTGAGGTATGGTAGAATTTCTTGTTTAAAGTATTTTTTATTTATAAATATATTATAATTATATTTTTTAAAATTTATTTTTAATACTAACATATCAAAATAATTAAAAAATATTAAAAAATAATAATTTAAAACTAAAATATTTTAAAGAGCGCCAATAGAATGAAATGTAAAACCATACCTTACAGTTGGAGGACCTTAGCATATATGCAAGGGGGCTGTGAAGTCAATGTCAATAATATTGCTAAACCAAAATGATTAAATAAAATCCACGTCTTTAAGCACGTATTCAATCCCTAGTTGGTATACATTAAGCCCATTTTATAATGATAATCATTTCCATTCAGAAATTAAAAGAAAAATAACACTTTGTATATAAAATCAAAATCTAGTTTTCATCTAGTTTTCATGTCATAATTATTAAACGCGATTCAAAAATTAACCTGATCAAGTGGCTAGGTCTCTTAGATCACATAAGTCGATCTTAATTATATATATATATATATTTAAGGTTTTAATATATTACAAAAAAAATATTAGAAATAATATATATATGGATGTATATTTTGCATAAAATATAGTATAGTTATTCCACATCAAAAAAAAGTTAAAGAAACAATCTTTATACATGTGGACTTTAAAAAAAAATATATGGGATATAAATATGAAGTATAATGTAGTTATTCTATAATGTTATGGCTCCTTGACAAGTAAGGATGAGAATTTCTATAATTAAATATGAAGTATATATATTGTCAACTCTTCGATTTCCTTGCTGTCCATGGCTAGCACATTCCTGTTATAATAGTTTGTTTGAGGTATGGTAGAATTTCTTGTTTAAAGTATTTTTTATTTATAAATATATTATAATTATATTTTTTAAAATTTATTTTTAATACTAACATATCAAAATAATTAAAAAATATTAAAAAATAATAATTTAAAACTAAAATATTTTAAAGAGCGCCAATAGAATGAAATGTAAAACCATACCTTACAGTTGGAGGACCTTAGCATATATGCAAGGGGGCTGTGAAGTCAATGTCAATAATATTGCTAAACCAAAATGATTAAATAAAATCCACGTCTTTAAGCACGTATTCAATCCCTAGTTGGTATACATTAAGCCCATTTTATAATGATAATCATTTCCATTCAGAAATTAAAAGAAAAATAACACTTTGTATATAAAATCAAAATCTAGTTTTCATCTAGTTTTCATGTCATAATTATTAAACGCGATTCAAAAATTAACCTGATCAAGTGGCTAGGTCTCTTAGATCACATAAGTCGATCTTAATTATATATATATATATATTTAAGGTTTTAATATATTACAAAAAAAATATTAGAAATAATAT